GGCACGGTGGCTCACGTCTGTAATCCCAGCACTTTGAAAGGCCGAGGCAGGCAGATCATCTTAAGTCAGGAGTTCGAGAATAGCCTGGTCAACATGGCGAAACCCCATCTCTACTAAAAATACAAAAAAATTAGCAAGGCGTGGTGACTGGCGCCTGTAATCTCAGGTACTCAGAAGGCACAAGAATCGCTTGAACCCAGGAGACAGAGGTTGGCTGTGAGGTGAGATTTCGCCACTGTACTCCAACCTGGGTGACACAGCGAGACTCCATCTCAATTTAAAAAAATAAAAAATAAAAAAAAAAAAGGGCATATTTTACATATCAGCCAACAATAGTGTATGAACTCAAGATGAATTCTAATTTGAACAGAGTTTAAAAATTAGAAATGTGAGATAATTTAGATACTGGATATTTGATATTAAGAAAATATGATAAAGGTATTGATTTTATTTTTCTTAAAAAAGGCTTCTTCTCTTCTAAAAGCTTTAGGGAGGAAATGATACTGCATTTACTTCTTCATTTATAAACGAAGTACGACTGGCCACTGAGCTCCGCTGTTGAGTACACGGGGGCTAACTATACACATCAGGGTTTCTCAAACCCAGTACTACTGACATTTTAGGCCAGGTAATTCTTTGTTGTGGAAGGCTGTCCTGTGTACTGTAAAATGTTAAGCAGCATTCCTGGTCAGCCAAACCTCTCTCTAGTTGTTGTTAATCAAAAATGTCTTTAGACACTGTCAAACGTCCACTAGAGGGCAAAATCACCCTGGGTCTGAGAGATATTAATAAATAACATTCTAAATATTTAAATTTTCCTATAATAAAACATTTTTTAAAAATTGTTTTGACTGAGTGTGGTGGCTCACACCTGTAATTCCAGTGCTTTGGGAGGCTGGGATAGGAGGACTGCTTGAGCCCAGGAGTTAGAGACCACCCTGGGTAATATAGGGAAATCTTGTCTCTACAAAAAAAAATTAAAAATTAGCCATGCATGCGAGAGGCTGAGTCGGGAGGACTGCTTAAGCCCAGGAGGTCAAGGCTACAGCAAGCTGTGATTGCTCCACTGTACTCTAGCCTGGGTGACAGAGCAAGATACTGTCTCAAACAAAAATAAAAATAAATCCACAACAAGTTTGTTCAACCCACGGCCTGAGGGCTGCATGCAGCCCAGCACAGCTTTGAAAGTTACCCAACACAAATTCATAAACTTTCTCAAAACATTATGAGATTTTTTTGGCAATTTTTTTTTAAGCTCATCAACTACCATTAGTGTTAGTGTATTTTATCTGTGGCCCAAAACAATTCTTGTTCTTCCAATGCAGCCCGGAAAAGCCAAAAGACTGGACACCCCTGATCCACAAGCTTCAAAAGTTATAGAAATACTCTGTGTATAGGTACAACTACAACCCCTTGTGGAGCCTAAGGTAGAGATCTGGCGCCTGGCAGAGGCTTTGCTACTAAATAGTGGTCTCCTGTCACTACCAGCAGCCTCTGTCACCTCTCTGAGTCTCATCATCCTCACTGGATCAGGCTGACTGGTTCTTTTGAGCTATAACACGACGTGGTGACAGTGAACTTTTACGTACCCATTCACTAAGGGTGGACATCAACATTTGGAAATCAATCAAAAACGGGTTAGTGTACAAAGATGATGATAATATTTTTGTTGCAAATTATCTACCTTTTTTTTTTTTTTTTGAGACAGGCTCTGTCACCCAGGCTGGAGAGCAGTGGCATGATCTCGGCTCACCGCAATCTCCGCCACTTGGGTTGAAGAGGTTCTCCCGCCTCAGCCTCCCAAGTAGCTGGGATGACAGGCATGCACCACCACACCCAACTAATTTTTGTTTTTGTTTTTTTGTAGAGATGGGGTTTCACCATGTTGGCCAGGATGGTCTCGAACTCCTGGCCTCAAGGCATCTATCTGCCTCAGCCTCTCAAAGCGGTGTGATTACAGGCATGAGCCACCACACCCCATCTGCCTTTTCCTAGTCTTGATCTAGTAAGTAACATTCTTATCACAGACATATACAATTAAGTAAGATTCCTGGGATAAGCACAATAAAAAGTATTTTTACAAAACAGAAAAACAAAACTGTTCTAGTCATAATAGTCAAAAATGTCCACCACTAGTGAGTAGATTAAAAAAAAATTGTGGTACATCCAAACAATGAAATACTACACCTACTGATACACACTCAAAAAATAAATCTCAAAAGCACTACGCTAAGTGAAAGAAGACACAAAAAATTATTTACTCTGTGACTCCATTTGCACAGCATTCTAAAAAAGGCAAAACTATAGGGAGAGAAAGCAGATCAGTGGTTACCCAGGGGCTGAGAAAGAGAGAGGGCACTGACTATAATGGGCCATAAGTGACCTCTCTGGCAATGGGGTGTTCTACATCTTGTGAAGGTGGTTACATAACTATACGCTTGTCAAAACTCACCAAACGATATACTTAAAATGGATGAACATTCTATCTCAATAAAACTAACTTTAAGAAAAAAGCTTCTCAACAGAATGAGAGCTCCCATTCATTCTTGAATATTCACCACTCAATTGGCAGGAAGCCTAATACTTAGCAGTACAGTAATGTAGGTAATATGATATATACCTGAGCTGTAACACTGACACAAGGGCACCACACTGTGAAAGATACATAGCTCCTTCCAGAACATGCCAATACAAGAGTTAAAAATGTAACAGGGCATGTTATATTAATGCAATAATGTGTGATAAATCTGATTTAAACACAGCCAACAATTCAGTTTTAAATACACTATATGGCTGATGGCTCACACCTGTAATCAGAGCACTTTGGGAGGCTGAGGTGGGCAAATCACGTGAGGCCGGAAGTTCAAGACTGGCCTGACCAACATAGAGAAACCCCGTCGCTACTAAAAAGACAAAATTAGCTGGGCATGGTGTTGCATGCCTGTAATCTCAGCTACTCAGGAGACTAAGGCAGGAGAATCACTTGAACCAGGGAGGTGGAGGGTGCAGTGAGCTGAGATTGTGCCACTGCTCTCCAGCCTGAGTGACAGAGCCCAGACTCTGTCTCAAAAAA